CTTAAATAAAATTTGTTTTTCCATCTTGATTTCAGTGTTCCTTTAATCGTAACTTGTTGGCATCTGTACGGAAGAATTTAGCACTCTTCTGGTATAATTTTTCCAGTTCATATATGTTCTTAATGATAATATTAAGGGAGCAAACAATTGCAAAGTTAAAATCTTTCATCTCAATTTTTACAAGACCCTTTTGGCTCAAAATAGGAGTGCTTTCCTTTCTAGTGTTTTACGTTGTGCTCACCAAAAAAAAAAAAATCTGTGCCAGTATAATTAATGTTCCCTCTCTGCATCATGGTAAAAACACCTCTCGCTTTGGGATTTGGCTTAGGGGACAGTCATACTTGAAATCTTGTATCTTTACTGTCCTGCTTAGTGCATCACTATATTCTCCAGAATAATTGAAAAAGCAAACCTGAGATGCTATCGATTCTACTATGTGCTGCATCTCAAGGTAAGATGCACAGGAAAGGCTGTTTAGAATTGGAGGTTTGAGGTTTACCACAGCCTATACCTAATTATATATCTGTTGCACTTGCTGTCAATTACCACTCCTGCAGCTGACAGTGTCAAGTCTATGGTCATAATGGCACTAGCCTATAAACCAAAGCAAAAACAATATCTCTTGATTGCACAACTGCCTTAATTAGTAATTAAGGAAAAATAATTGCCGTTTAATCTACTGAGATGAACAGGTGTGAAAATTACTCATGTAATTTGCATATTAATGCCAAAATGACCATTTTACATTTTGTCACATCTATAATTTAAAACCTTATTCACTCACTGATGGATGTAATGCTCATTTAAAAGCACAAGTAAGTAGATAGAATTATTACAATAATTAACTAGGTAGCATTTATGTAAGTTTTTACAAGTTGCCATTATTATCTAGGCCAAAAAAGTTCAGTTAGGTGAAATTCATTTTAAACAAGTAACAGATGACCATGACTTGCTACAATAACTAGGTGTGTTAGGTATAATAGGGTCAAATTTAAAACACAATACTATAAAAATACATAAAAACTGATTTTAAAGACTGACATCTTTTATAATTACTATATAGTTTTATCTTTGACAATCTTTTATAATTATCTAACCTAACTAGATTTTCGTTCCATGTCAAAATTTGGGAAAAATGTTTGGGGAAAATACTTGATTACATGTAGTGGGTGTGAACGTAGAATATAGTGAATGAAACTCATGCTCATTAGCCATGCCCATTGTCATTGTACTACAGTATACACTCACCTAAAGGATTATTAGGAACACCTGTTCAATTTCTCATTAATGCAATTATCTAATCAACCAATCACATGGCAGTTGCTT